CCAAAAATGCCATAGTTTAAGCAAAAGATGTTTTCTCATTTACAACTTCTGAGATTAGCAGGGTGGTTTTCCATGTATACTTTCACCATTGAGCATATAAAAGGAACCAAGAACTTATTTAGACTTCTAGTACTCTAGATATGGGCTAAACACTGAACAATGTCTGGGCTACAGGACATATTCAGATTTATTTGTTGTTGCTGTAATTTGGATTTGAAAACGACCTTTTTAAAACTAGACCTCCACATGAAAGTTATAGGTCTATGTCTTACCTTTCAATCCATATAAAGTAGACCTAAATCTGAGATCTATAACTCTAGATATGACCCAATTATTGAATAGTGTTCTAGTTTGAACTACGCTAATATCTCTTTTCTAAGTTTGACCCTCTTTTTGTTCTTTTAATTTCAATACTTTAACTCATCAATCAATCTTTTTATTTATGTGATATGCCTACATTTAAGATGAATATTTACTATAAATTAAAGGTATCTTATGATATCTAACTTGTTATTATAAAACATGCTTTATTTAAGAAGTTATTGATACTTCAAATGTAAAATGATGATATAAAACCTTGATAAAAATACACTTTTAAATACTAATTAAGTAGCTTATTTATCATTTTATCAAGCAGAAACTTTGATAACATGTTCTAAACACATAGCTTTTTATTTTGTACAATTGGATTGAAGATGTTTAAGTTAGTTGTTTTATCATAAAATGAGGTTATCAATTTTGTCTCTCAACTCCTTCTATTTCATTTTTTCCTTCTATTTCATTTTTTTGTATTTGAAGAAAAATGTTATTCTTAATTATTTATATATTATAATCTTTAGTTTTAACTAAGAAAGAATATTTTATAATTTCATTATTTATGAAAGTGGAATTTTTAAATAAATTATAGTTTTATAATTTTTTATATATTAATTTTTTGAATAAAAAAATTGATGCTGAATTGTGTGATTGGCTGGTTAATTTTATTGATTGTTTGATTTTATTTTAATTACATTAAAAAAACAAAAATCAGAACTTCGTATATGATAAATGGTGCCTTCTATGAACAAAACCCCATGGAAAGCAAGACAAAACTGAACAAAAAAAGAAGAGAACTCACTGGTCGCGAAATGGCCCAAGCCGCGAGGCTCAATCTTCGAATGCAAAAGGAGCTCAAGCTCCTCCTGACCGACCCTCCACCCGGCGCCTCCTTTCCTTTTCTCTCCACCGACTCCGATTTCTCCTCTTTGTCAACTATCGACGCCCGTAAGTTACTTCTCGTTATATAACCAATCGAAAATCTCAAAAATTTGAGTTAGCCATTGACCAAAATTTTTGTTAGGGCAGAGATTGAAGGGCCCGAAGGGAGTGTATATGCTAAGGGGATTTTCAGCATTAAGATTCAAATACCCGATAGGTATTATTTGCATTTATGTCTTGTAATTAAGAATTCTTATGGGTTTTTAATTTCCTTTTTTTTAAAATTTTTAGGTACCCATTTCAGCCTCCAAGTGTGACCTTTTCCACGCCAATCTATCACCCTAATATCGATAACGGAGGTCGGATTTGCCTTGACATTCTTAATCTTCCCCCGAAGGTGACACACACCCACTCACACCCTAATTCTTTTTTTTTTTTCTATTCTTTTCTGTTTTCTCTTTTGTCGAAAGGGAAAGTTTGCTTTTGGTTTCCTAGAAATATATAATGTTCTGAGCATGATCGCTTTGTGTTGTTTCTGGGATATTTTTTTTTGTATATAAAAATGAGGATAGATTGACGAATTCTACTGCTTATTACTATTATTAATGGTTTTTTTTTTCAACAATTAAATCTACTGATTCTACTTGGAATGGACTTTATATTAAATAAAATGTGAATTAATCTAAAGTAATATCTCAAGTTGCTTGCTTCTAGTTATTGATTCTGTAATTTTACCATTTTGACAAGTTCGGTTGTTCTTCCCGCTTGTTACAACTACTTGTGCTGATATTTTATAAAATTTTGCCTCTATTTTGGGCTGAAAGTATGTGCTCCCGTGGCTTTCCTTTTTTCATGGAAATCGGCAAGAAGTTGGCCTGTAAAGTCAGTTGTTGGTCCATGGGTTTGAATTAACTCTTAAAGCGTAAAGGTTCCAATCTAGTTTTTCACAGTCCGTTTTGCCATTATTGTAGCTTTGGTAGGAACGATGAAGAACAGTGATCTGGAGGATATTTGTCAAGAAAATTGAACTTTATATTTCTTGGGCAGTGACAGCTGTCCAATTATTGTACTGGTAGACAAATCATGGATGACTAGAAATTTCTTGAGGTTTTTTCAGTTTATTTGTTTCTTCAACTTTCTTCTTATTTTTGTTATCAATAGGCAATGGATGTCTTGATGAAATTGTAGGGTTTCTCTCAAACCTGCTATTTATAACAAGGTTTGTGTTTGCACACAAGCAGGGTGCATGGCAACCATCATTAAACATTTCAACAGTGCTAACAAGCATAGGGTTGTTGCTGTGTGAGCCAAATCCTGATGATGGCCTAATGTGTGAAACTGTAAGTGGATATGTACACAGATCGATCAGACAGTAATATTGAATAAAATAGTCTCAATTTTCTGATGTGTGGGGATGAATATGCAGAGCAGAGAATACAAATATAACAGGCTGGTGTTTGACCAAAGAGCTCAAGCCATGACTGAGAAATATGCTAAGCCTGCAGCCAATATCGGTAGCTGCAGTACTCAATGCAGTACTCAATACATTCAAAGCGACACAAATTCAAGCCCAATGGTAGCGTTTGTTTGGTTGTTTTCCCAAATTATTTTTGAAAAATCTGGATCTTTTTGAATTTGTAATTCTTTGCTCTAGGTGGAAATTAAAGGACCAGACAAGGAATCGACTAATCAAAATAAGGATTTCGTTTCTAATCATAAGAAACCAAGTGGGATTGGCGGGAAGCTGTCTCTGGAGTTTGCCACCTCAACTCGTAACAAGGGAAGTGATGGAGATGTGAATAACAAGCGAAATCAGGACCTCCTGTTTGACTTCAGCAATCACACAGAAACAAAAGGAGAGTGGGGAGAGTCGATTGTTATGCCTGAAGAGTACAATGTGAAATATGAGAAGCCAAGTGGCATTGGGAGGAAGTTGTCTCTTGAATCATCTGTTAGATTCCCTGAACATAACACACAGAATATAAACCCAAAGCAATATCAATCCTTCTGTAACCCACCAACTGCTCCTATGACTTCTTTGGATTTGCTAGGGCTGCACGTTGGCAACTGTAATAAGCAACGACTCCATAAGCAGCATGATAAGACGTCAACGTTTGGCAACAAAAGCACAAGCTCAGACAATCTTTGTCAGGTTAGCCATAAGATGCTGTCTGGAGCTTTGGATGCATACCAAACAAATGATGGCATAAATGAGGAAATCCTTGTAACTCCTGAACTATTGCCTTCTCAGTCCCATTCCAATTCAACTCCAGAGGCCTCGCTGGTGGCATCATCCTTCAAACATAATGAACTGCCTTGTAGGGATTCTTTTATTGGGATTGATAATACCACCATCAATGCAAGATGTAATAAGCCACTGCTGGTTAGTAAGAAGCTTTCTCTGGGATTTAAAACCTCATCACAGGGACAAGAAAAGGATGACGAAGAGAATATTGTTCCAATTCACGAGCTTCCATTTTCAAATCCTCAAACTGCAAAGAAGACTGGGATTAGCCAGAAACTATCTTTGGGTCCTCTCACTCAATTGCAGGGGAGCAATGAGGATAATAGCAGGTTGCTTTTGCACTCGCAGAACCTCTTTCCAGAAACTCTCCAGAAGCAGCAGTCTATCCAACATCAAAGTAGGAAAATTGATAAGGGGATTGAGTCCAGTGGGGGAGACTCACCAGTTGCCGAATCAGCAATTGTGCTGGATAGTGAAGACAGTGAAGAGGAAATCAATGGATCATCAAGGTTTGAATTGTCATTAGTTAGAAAGTGTAAGAAGAAGAGGAAAAGTTGTGCTTGATTACCAAGGGGTGTCTAATAACGTTGTTTCTCAGATTTTTTTTTTTTTATGGTGAAATATATTAAAATAATTTTTTTTTTTTTATGGTGAAAATTTTTAAAATAATTTTTTTTTTTTTATGGTGAAAATTTTTAAAATAATTTTTTTTATATTATATCAATATATCAAAACCATAAAAAATAATGTGAAACAATATTCTTAATTTTTTTTAACAAAACTACAATTCAGCCACAGCACTGAACATCCTCTAAGTTCTACATGTTATCTATTTAGCTTTTAGGGCAGCCCTTTTCTAGCTGAACAACCATGATGGAACAGAACTTTGAAGGAAATTACTTAAAATCTGTTTTGCATTTTGTTGATTCATAAATTCTTGAAACTTGGGTTTGCAAGAAAATTTCCTGCAGCAAGTCATGGGAACTTGGAAAGAATGCCGATTGCATCAGCCCTACTCATCTTACATTTTCTTGGGATGATTACCATGCATCCGGCCTCAAATCTAACACTCTGATTTGGGTGGTAGGAATAGCGTGTACGTTGAGATATGATACCGAGAGAGAGAGGCGGTTGCTGTTTGTTCTTGCCGTTTTGCTTGAAACCAGAAATTAACAGAGAGAGACAGTGTCTTTCTCTCTCTTGCTGGACGATTGAGTTGTAGTCGGAGCTGTTGTGTGGAAGTGATTTTAGATCTTTAAAGAGGATGTGCCTGATCTTTAAACAGGATGTGCCGAAGTCTATATGTTCGTTAATATAGTAGTAGCTTTTAGCCATGCAGTAAGTGAAGCTGACAAACCCTTTTTGATTCAGATCTGAAACGGTGTCTTATGCTGAGTTGATCTTCTAATGCTTGCGCTTATAAATGATGTCCGAGTGTGTCATGCCATATGAATTATTGAAATCATTTATCACAAGGCCTTTACACTGTCAAACCGCTGGATTGATTGAATTTTTTTTTGGTTGATTTTATTTTTTAAAATTATAATGGTTAGAAATTTAATTTATTATTTTATTTTTATATGAAATTAACAGTAATTTATAAGTTTGTAAAGATAACTCTAGTTATTTTAGTTTACAAGTCTGATAAATTATTTTATTTAATTAAAATTAGTTTTTTTTATAGTCAATTTCTTTTTTTATATGATTTAAAAAATATTATTTAAAAAAAAAATCATATTATTAAATTTTATATTATGATTTTTTTTTCCAAATATGTTTTTGTTGATTTCATCTTTTAAATTGTATATTGTTAAGAATTTAAATTTATAATTTTTTTAATTTTTTCTTTATATGAGGTTCACGTAATTTATAAGTTTGCCAAGATAATTCAGGTTGCTTCAGTTTATAAGTTTGGTAGGTTATTTTTTTAATTATTATTGATTTTTTATAGTCTATTTTTTTTCATATAGTTAAAAAAATAGTTTTTTTTTTAGAAAAGTCATGTTATTAAACTTTATAAAATAATAAAAATTAAAAGATGTGAAGAAACCATTGTTTACCCATACATATTGCACTGTGAATGAGAATAATAATCTATAATGTTTTACTTTTTTTTTTTTTTTGAATTTTTGTTATGATTTTTTTCAATTTTTTTTTTTTAATATTAGGATGGTTGAGAATTTAACTTATAATTTGTTTCCTTTTATTTTACCTTTCTACGAGGTTAATATAATTTGTAAATTTGTTAAGGTAACCAGGATTGCCTTGGTAGTTTAGTGAATTGTTTTTTTTCTTAATTGAACTTGATTTTTTTATCATCTATTTTTTCTTATATAATAAAAAAAAAGCTTAAGATAAAAGTTATGTTGTCAAATTTTATAAAGTTTATAGACTTATTCACATGTTTGGCTTGTTGACTTGATTTGCGGGTCTGACAAGTTTAATTTTTTTTTTAAATTAGTTTTTTTTATCCTTAAATACTAAGTTAATTGGGAATTCAATTTCATAATTGGTTTTGGTTTGCCCTTTAAGAGGTTATCCCAATTTAAAAAAACCATCTCGATATTAGATTGATGTTTGATTTCACCTATCGTTTATTTTTATTATCATATAGTTAAATAAAAAATAATTAAAAAAAAAAATTATAATTTAAGTGAAGTTCGTAATCTAGTTTATAGGTTTGATTTACTAACCTGACTTACACGATTTACAAGTCTAACAAATTTACTTATTGATAGGATATGTTTTTTTATTTTTAATTATTTTTAATTTATTATTTTTTAATTTTTTAATTTAATATTAAATTTATTAAAAAATAAATACTGATTTTAAACGGAGGCTTCAAGGTTATTAAAAGTATGGTTTCAAGACATAAATTTGAATTATGTTTTCTTTGTGATGTCACAGCCTGTAATATATACCTGTCCTAATAAGAATGTAACCTAACATGGACAGTTAGGTCTGAATGGCTGATGGGTGGTTCGGTAAAGATTGGAAGTCGGAGAGAAATCAGACACAATGCCTTCCCCCACTCTGTTCTAAACTCCTTTTTCTTTCCCTACCAATCTCTGACCAAAGCCTTGATAAGCAAGATATTTGTCATCTTTAAAAGCTAACAAGTTCTCTTTTTTTCCCCATTTTTAAAGTAGCCTATGCATTTTCATAGCCCGCGAGACGCAGCAGACATCTATTCCTATTTTTTTTTTTTGCGTATCAAATTATGTTGAGTTTTACTTAGATGAAAAAAAAAAAAACGAGAAACGTTTCAAAATATTGGGTAATGCTGGAGTTCATGGAAGAGAATTTGGTGCAAAAGTAGCATGAAAAATAGAATCGAGACAATATCAGCTTATTTGGGATTACGGTTATGATTGTTTTTTAAAATATTTTTATTTAAAAATATATCAAAATAATATTTTTTATTTTTTAAAAATTATTTTTGATATTAGTACATTAAAATGATCTAAAACATCAAAAAAAATTAATTTTTTTTTAAAATATTTTTGAAATGCAAAAACAAATAAAACTTAAGCAAAAAGAATAACATCTTTGATGGGAAACAACAACTTTTGCATTAGATAAGCATCAATCATGCTTTGACATATTTGAACATGAAATGGTAAGGAAAAGAAAAGAAAAAAAAATGTCAAGAGCATACTTATTATAAAAAAAATATCAAATATAAATCGAAATATCAACGGAAAGAAACTCAATGGAAAATCCAAGTGACTTTTACCGATGAAATATCTTTTCACTATTTCTTTTTATATACACCAATAAAAAAATTTCATTGATAAATACCAAGGGAATCATAGTTGAAAATAAAAAATTAACGTGTCATTATTTTAGACAGAATTATTGAGGAAATATACTTGTTAATACTAGTTGGTGAATCTATCAAATTGTCAATAATATCTAAATTATAACCTAACATGTGACCTACCTTCTTACCCTCCCTCATTTCTTCTTCTTCATTTATATTCCGTAGAAAATAGTAGACAACATCGCTATATTTTATCAGCAATTAAGCTTTCATTATCACAAATTCATCCACCCTAATACTCAGTTTATCAGCATCTAGATTATTTTTTTTCAAAGATTCACCACATCAAGTAAACAAAATTACCTCTCTTTTTTAACACATTTTTAAAATATTATTTTTTTGGCATTTTGATATAGTATAAGTAGTTCGTTTATTTGTTTACTTATTTTATAGCTTTTTCCTATGAAAATGTGTTGTATGAATGTATGATTTGTACATGTTAGGGTTTGTTTGAGATTTAAAAAAATTATATTTGTTTTCATTTGATGAATTTGAGTTTGATTTTGTAATTTAGATATTTTATAATGAAATAAATAATGACTTATTTAATGAGTGACACGACCAAAAGATTGATGTCTTCTTCCAAGTGTAAGAATGTCAAAGTAATAAATAACTGGCAAGACCAAGGTCTAACCATAAGGAGGTTAATTATATAAATTACAGATAAAAATAATACAACAACAATAATAGGATAAATGATTCCATTATCTAGAAGCTTAAGGACTTCATTCCTCACTACTTCTTTCATATTAGGATTCAGCCTTTGTTGCATTTCTCTAGAGGGTTTAGCATTTTCCTCTAAATAAATCTTATGTGTGCAAATCAAAGGACTAATTCCATTTATGTCAGCTATTGTCCATCCTAATGCATTTTTGTGCATTTTTAGAGTTTGTAATAACTTACCTTCTTGATGTGCATTAAGTTTGGAAGAAATTATTACTGGAAAAGTTTCATTTTCTCCCAAAAATAAGTATTTGAGATTGAATGGCAATAACTTCAAATCAGGTTTTGGTGGTTGAACACATGAAGGTATAGACTCAATTGATCATGGCGGCAACTCTTCAATTTGTGGTTTCTAATTACTTGCCTTTGATTCTTCCTGAAAATAAACCATTTACAAATTCTCAGACTCATTAAATTCAATTTCACTGGAAATAGTTTCGAATTGATCATGAACTAATTTTTCAATAAAATCCACTTCCTGTAAATCATTATTATCTCCAGGTTGCTTGCAAATGTTGAAAATATTCATCTCCAATGTCATGTTTCCGAATGATAACTTCATTAGTCCATTCCTACAATTAATCAATACATTATAAGTTGCAAGAAATGAACGTCCTAAAATAACAGGAATTAAATTACATGCTTCAACAATTTATGTATCTAGGATAATAAAATTCACAGGATAAATGAATTTATCAACTTGTACTAACACATCTTCAACTATTCCTCTAGGCACTTTTACAGATCTATCAGCAAGTAACAGAGTTACAGAAGTTGGTTTTAACTCACCTAAATTGAGACTTTGAAAGAATGAATATGGAAGTAAATTCACACTAGCTCTAAGATCAAGTACAACTCTTTTAATTTTATATTCTCCAATAAAGCACGAAATTATAGGACAATCAGGGTCTTTATATTTCAAAGCATTATTGTTTTGAAGAATGACACTTACTTGTTCGGCTAAGAAAACTTTCTTTTTCACATTCAATTTTCTCTTCACAGTGCATAGATTTTTCAAAAATTTAGCATAAGAAGGTACCTGTTTAATAGCAT